ATTGAGTACATGAATTGACCAAGGTAGAAAGTTTGAACCATCATTTTGTAGAAGCACTGGCTCCAACTCGATAGGCGTTGACATCATTTTCTCACAGCGGTAAAGCTTGTAGTGAGTCCTGGCTCTGATACCAATTAAAAGGACCTATGATGCCGCATAGAGGGCGGGTGAATAGGCGTTTCTGAAAAATCAACCCCTTTAAAAGCGGAAACGATTAGTAATAGGAGTTTCCAAAATAGAAACTCTAAATAAGAGTAATACCACCCCTCACAATATATCCACAAAGTATATAAAAGATACTAGATAAATCTAGGGAGCCAAACAGTTGCAACCAAAGAGTTGAATCAAAATGCACTAGTCAGTTAATGTCGGAAGTCCCAACATTTGGGTCAGAACTTCCGACGTGTCAGAAGTCCCGACGTTTGGGTCAGAACTTCCGACCCCTACGGGAAATGAACTGCAAGTGCTAAAATGAACTTTGTGATGTCGATAACTTACAAACCCACTTCCTAGTGGTAAGGTAAGGTGTTGGGTCACTCTCTTGACGTTGATAAGCCACCACTCCGTAGATCGAGTCCCAAACCCTAAGAAATAGCTAGAGAGAGGGAGACAACCAAATACAAGTAATTTCGAGCAAATCACAACAACAACAAGCACGCGGGAGACAAGAATTTATCCTGAGGTTCGGCAGCCCCACAAAGGAGCTCCTACGTCCTCATTGTTGAGGTGACCACTTTGGTCGGAGTCTCTTCCACCTCCTTGCCTCACTCAAGGATACCATAAAGGTCACTTGAGTTTCTTCACTAGAAAACAAGGGTAATACAAACTTTCCAAGGCTCTTCCACAAGATGGAAGCTCTTGGGCGACGCCTAGCCGGCTAGGGGAAAATCCCCAAGAGTAACAAATGCAAATCAAACCGGCTTGACGAAGAAATCAAGTGCTCAAGCTTGCTCAAAGTGTTTTTCTCACTCAATCCACTCTCCAATCACTCAAACCCTTTAGGAATTGAAGTTGGAAGCAAAGGAGTGAAGAGAGGCGAGCCTAGAATGCTTGGGGGCTGTTTTGGCCGAGTGTTCGTCGCAATGAAATGAGTGGGCAACGGTTAGAAGCAAGGAGAGGGGTATATATACTTCAAGGCAAAATCTAACCGTTCAGATCTACGTCGGAAGTTCCGACGCAGATCTCAGGACTTCCGACGTATGAAGAAAAACTTTGTTCACACAAGGTCAAAGTCCACTCGAGGGCGATAACGTCGGAACTTCCGACATGGGTCGGGACTTCCGACGGTCGGAACTTCAAGCGAACGCGGGACTTCCGAACTTCGGAACTTCCGAACTTCCGACGACGCCGGGACTTCCGACGGCACGCATACAAGCAGGTCGAGAGAACCATCGATCTTTGGGACTCCGGCTTGGGTCGGGACTTTTCGATTGTCGGGAGTTTCGACTCACGCCGAGACTTCCGACGTCCCACCATCACCAAGTGAGCTATGATTGGGAGTCGGCCGATTCCGGCAAGAGTCATGACTTCCGACTGTCGGGAGTTCCGGCTTACGTCGGGACTTCCGACACCGACAATTATTCTATGTGCTCGTGAAGTGCTAGAGTGTCTCGCATTTGATTTAATTATTATGCTTGAGCACTCTATCTTCCTCAGACCACTTAAACTTGCATCCCTCTTAATAGTACGGCATACCTATTAACTCAAAATCAAAAGAAAAATGAAATTAAATCTTTTGAGTTGATCTTCTTTAAATTGATGCTGTGTCTTTCAATCTTCATCAAGTGAGGGTGCCAACATGTCAATATTGATCTTGTCACTTGAGCATAGCCATCTTGAGCACGTGACTTGATTTCATTCATCAAATATGAATAACTCCAAATGCATCAAGTCACTTTAATCAACTTGTCCAATATAGATTTGATCATCCACATCAATATGACCATCGTAGCTTGATTAGTACTTCAACTAAATGCAAGTACTTTCTTCTTCACCCTAGCTAGGTTCCTCGGCCATCAAGCCGTCGCTTGCCCTTCACCCTTGCTTAGTACCTTGAAGCCTTTTCTTGCTATCTTCACCATCTCAAGCCGTCAAGTCACATCTTGTATTAAATCAACCATTCATTTGTATTGTTGTCTTTTTCATTTCAATTTAGCAAGCTTCAAATATGAGACCATTCCATATGCAATCCCTCATGTCTCATTAATTAACTCTTATCGTGCTTGCTTTCACATAGATCATTGAAATCCCACAATAAATAAGCATTTGCATGAATTCCATTTGCATTGTTGTCTTGTGCTTGAACTAGATTGTTTATACAACAATACATCATTTTTGGCTTTATACAATTTCATCAAGTATCTGTGAGATAATCAATTTCCTATCTAACACTTAGCAAACATGTTAGTTCTTTAATCGTGTTGTCATTCAATCACCCAAAACTCACTAAAGGGCTAGATGCACTTTCATTACTCTTGGAGGTTGCCACCTCCTAGATGGCTTGGTGGTGGTCTCCGTTGAAGCACACAAAGAAGATTGTGCGGTGCTCCGGAGAAGTGATTGTGAGGGGGATTGTGCTCGCCCCGTGGAAGCCACGAAGAGCAACTCTAGTAGAGCGAGACACGAAGGGCGACAAGTGGTCCGGCCGAGTCAAGTGCTAGAGCTTGTGGTAAGCACTCCACGTGGGAGAGTGTGACTTGCGGGTCACCACTAGCAAGAGGACCGACGGCAAGCTTGGAGCTTATCTCAACGGGGACTACATGTTGGCAAGCACGTGAACCTCGGGATAAAAATCATTGTGTCATTCTTGTATTCTTGTTGGTTTGCATCCTTATTACGCAAGCTTGTATTTACTTCATTTATATTGTGCTTGTGTAGTTACTCTTGTAATTAGTTAGCTTGTATAGCTTGCTAGTTACCTTCTTGCTTATGTAGCATAGAAGTAGCTCCCTTGCATGACTAATTCGGCTTACGTAACCTTGTTAGTCACATTGCTTAGTTTGTGTAGCGAAGAAATTTGCGCTCATCCTCGTTATACAAGCTTGTATTTACTTCATTTACATTGTGGTTGTATAGTTGCTCTTATAATTAGTTAGCTTGTGTAGCTTGCTAGTTACCTTCTTACTTGTATAGCATCGAAGTAGCTCCCTTGCATGACTAATTCGGTTTAAGTAACCTTGTTAGTCACATTGCTTAGTTTGTGTAGCTAAGAAATTTATGCTCTATAATTGGCTTGTGTAGCTTTGTTATTGAGCATTGCTAGTGAGCTTAGGTGGCTTTGTGCTTTTGCTTACTAGCATGTGTTGGAGCTCCCTCGTTACTTGAAGTACTAGTGGCATAGGTTTGTGTGACCTTACTTCTAGAATTGGTTAGGTGAGCACTAGCTAGCCCGGCACCTTTGTTGCCTAATTAGGATCTCTATAAGGTGCGAGTGAACTTCGATAGAGGGGTGTAGTCTTGGCTAGACCGATTGTTTTAATTCCGTATTTGTTTCGGTTAGCCGACGCGATTAAATTTAGAAATGACTATTCACCCCCTCTAGTCCGCCATCTCGGCCCTACAATACCTTTCCCCTTCCTCCCCAACGGCTATCTGTCTCTTCTTCCTCACTTTAGCACTCTCCAAACATAGTAGGAGCTATCTCTCTCCCTTCATTGTTGACCTCAAGCCCTAAGCAAATCTATTGATTTCCCCATCAATCCTTGAGGGAAAAGGGTCCAAAACTCGATTAGAGAGCAGCTCCATTGATTTCCCTAACTCTGAAGAGCACTTGGTTCATATTTTAGCCAGCGGTTGCGTTTGTTACTCTTGGAGCTTGGCTCCTAGCCGGCTAGATCGTCGCCTGTGGAGCTTGCCAACTTGTATGGTATCTCCGGGGGGTTTGTAACCATGTCTTGAAGTTAGTAAACTCACTCCTTATCTCAAGAGTTAAGTCTTTTGATTTGAGAACGAGGAAGGGTTGGAAAGCTCTAAGCCTTAGTGGCTAACCTCAACAACGTAGAGGTAGGCAAGCCTTGGTGGTGAACCAAATCACGTGATAAATTATTGTGTCACTTTACTTGATTTACATTACTTGCATGACATATTGTGGTTGAGGTGATTTCTAGGATTTCTAGTCGATCTACTTGTGTATGGTGTTCCTACCACTTCTAGCTCTTGATCAGTGATTGTCATACCTGCAGTAAGCTAGGAAATTTCTTCGGTCTAAGTTTTCGTTCACGGATTTTGAACTGTGATTTGAAGTTGTTTCTAGTAAAAGTCTTGGCGAAGGTCATTGCATTCGCCTTAAGAAGGTCTTAGTAGCCCAATGATCTTCGTTCTCTAAGGCGGCAAGTGTCGTTGGGTGAATTTGATAAAAGTTTGAGAGTTTGTTTTGACATGCCTATTCACCTCCTCTAGTCCAACTAGAGATCCTACAAACAAAAGCTTACTGACAATATCTCTCACTAGGTAAGAAATCTAACCTTATTCTAGGTAAAACTACTCTATTAGAAGATGATATGTACATCACCCACCAGATTCGACGTTTCCCAAGCACATCGGTGCTAAAAAGGCCACCGACGACGACGAGGAGAAGCAGCGAATTCGGCGGGGAGTCGAGAAATCGCTTGCGCGTTGACTCTCTCTACTGTTGGGGAACGGACGCCACGAGAGTCTCCTGGGGAATAGATTAGTAAGGCCGGAATTATTCGTGAATCGACGGCAACAGGCCTGTCAACTTTTTTTTTTCGAAACAGAGGCCTGTCAACTATCCCGGGCTCATCAATGTACCGATCGCTTCTTGGGCCTGCATGTTCAAAATCAGAGTGAGAGAGACCAGTTGCAAGGAGCCCTGCCACTTACACAGCCCATAAGCCCACTGAAGCGCTGCAAGTGAACCGGCCAGTGGCCAGTGGCCACCGTCACCGGAAACGAACGCTCGAAATATAGAGGCCGACGCATCCGCTGGTGGCTGAGACTCACTGAGAGCCTCTAGAAATCACGCGACGCGACCGACCACCATGGCCGCCGCCGCCGCGCTCCTCCTCTCGCCGTGGCTCGTTTCTCTCCCACCTCAACCGAGCCTCGCCCCCGGCTTCACCAAGAGACTAACTCCCTACCCCTCCTATCCCCTCCTCGGCCGCCGCGGCGCGAGGCTCCGGGCCGTCGGGGACGGGCCTGGCTCGGGGCTGCCCGACCAGGCCACGGTCTACAACGGCGCCTACGGGCCCTGGACCGTGGAGGACTCCGACGTCCGCGAGGTGCTGCTGTACCGGTCGGGGCTGGTGACGGCGGCGGCGTCCTTCGTGGCCGCGGCCTCCGCGGCGTTCCTGCCTGAGGGCAACCCCGCCGCCGGCGCCGGCGCGGCCGACCTCCTGTACGCTGCCGGCGCCGGCGCTCGGGGCTGGGCCTGTCGCTGCTCCTCATCCACATCTACGTCACCCCGATCAAGCGATTCCTCCAGGCGCTGTGGGCGGCCGGGGTGCTCGGCTCCCTCGGGACCTACCTCGTCGCCGCCCGCCCGCTGGACGAGGGCCTCGTGCAGTACGTGCTGGAGCACCCCGCCGCGCTGTGGTTCGTCGGCCCCACGTTTGCCGCGCTCACTGGCCTCGTCTTCAAGGAAGGTATGCAAACGCTGCGCGTGCTGCTTATCAGAATCTCAGTGTGTATCTCCATATGGTACTTGGTACCTCTCTTCTTTCTTTTCAGCTCATCCATTGCATTTTTTTTTCCTGTCATCTGTTTCCAACCCGATTACATATGGATAGCCAAGTATATACAGTGATATGAATTTCCTGCCCGGTTACATATAGCCAGTATATACAGTGATATGACGACTGTAGTAGCAATGGCCATGCTAATGATATTCCAGTTTGTTATACATTGTAGTGTTATCCAATTTGTCGATTATGCTGACAGTAATGCATCCACAGGTCTCTGCTATGGAAAATTGGAAGCTGGCATCTTAACGTTTGTTATCCCTGGGCTGCTTCTTGGACATTTGGTAAGTCAGAAACCACTGAGATTTATCTCCTCAAAGTCTCATATTGCTGGTATCTGCTGCACTCATCTTACAATCTTTGTGGTCACATTTTATGTGCAGTCTGGTTTAATGGATAACAGCACAAAGACAACCCTTTTAGGAGTGTGGATGCTTCTTTTCATGGTTTTCGCAGCTAGAAAGTTCCAGCAGCCCATCAAGGTAAAATCTCTCCCAATGATTCCTATGTACCCTTCATTTGTAGCTGATATCTTGCTTCCTGATTCGAATCTAACAATTTCATTCTTCTCCCTCAACCATTCAGGACGACATTGGGGACAAATCTGTTTTCATGTTCAACGCACTCCCTGAAGAGGAAAAGAACGCTTTGATCCAGAAACTCGAGAGGCAAAAGGCACAGCAGCAGTTTGAGTAGACATTGTACCTTGCCTTGGTGTAGCCAATAGTTTGTCCATGAAAGTTTATAGCCGATGTACATGATAGTTCTGAAAAATGAAAATACATCAAGGCATATAAAGATGAGAATATTGTAATCAAGATGTAATTACAAATGTGTTGGATCACAGGTAAGTTGTAATTACATCTATAACAGTTTTGTTGTTTTAGTCTTTGTAAATATTTCAGTTTGTTGAGCTCTCGTGCCATAATCGAGTAAATGCAAAATTCATCACTGAATGGATGAGATGGAGGTTGAGGAAACAGAAAAGTTATCTGCTGACCCCAAGCCTATGAACTTGCATATCATGAGGAAAGCAACCTGATAATGGTCACAGAAACAGAAGATCACATTCGCTTACATATCATGAGCAATCTGATAATGGTCCATCCACTGAGTTGTCTAAAACTACAAACTTTATCACCACCCAAAGGGCGCAAGCAATTCTCTTATACTTTCACATACAATACAACTCAACATATAATAAGCTTGGGAATGCCTTGACCAAGTGGCAGATCCCCAAGACAGTGGGCTACTACTTGGTAGCACCCAATCGCACGGTAAACGATTGCATACCATGCAAACAGTTCCTGGTAAGCTCTTAAAACATCAAGGAATTTGCTCAGGGCCCTGGGTGACCTAAATAAATAGCTACGAATTGCCATTTAACCTATCAATGGTACATAAGTCTGCGGATGCAGTTGCAGAGTCGACTAGTTTGCATAGATAGCGCCATTTGAATTCAGAGAGGCGCCGTTCTGGGGAACATCAGCTCCCTCTACTTCCGACAAGAAGCCATTCTCAAAGAATGCTGAATGGAGGGCTTGTACACACTGTTTTGCCTCACTGTCATTGACTACTAAGGAAATGTTCACCTGCATGAGTACATAGTAAGTATTACTGCACCATCTGGAAATTGCATAAAAACTTGTTTTATGTTTTGTAAGAGGGGATGGATACCTTGGATGCCCCTTGTGAGATCATTTGGACATTAACACCATTTCTTCGTAGAACATTGAATGCCTGGCATGCAGGAAAAGGGTCAGACATTCATGTTTTGGTGTCCAATCTCCAGAATAAAAAGCATGACCTAGCATGGAAGTTCAGTATCATTAGGAGCTCTGACCTTTTCAAGAATCAATGATGATCTCTGTACATTCCCTATCAGTGAGATGATCGATCTACGCTGGAGCAGATGAACAACAGAAAATTTTTCAAGCTCTTCAACAACATGATCAAGTTCCTGCCACATCATTGTAAAAAAAAAGAATCAGGAGGGCAGTAAAAAACTTACTGAAAATTTGCCAGGTTAAACCTGCAAAGTAAAACCACGGCAAAAGAATTCAATATATTATCTGTTCTGTAAGTTTAACATGCACCTAAAAGGTTATGTGGGTTATCAACTGCCGCAAGAATCCATAGATCAAAACACATAGTTACAAAATGTGTAATTTAATACTAAGCAATTCAAATTCCAAGCTTAATCATAACACTGAACAGAGATGATAACACATGCAGAGTAAAACATTTGGTAACTGGATGTTATTGGAGGTACTGGCTGTATTGTTTGCTGAAAGTTTAACTAAAATATTTCCTCACTCAGATGCTTACCTGCTGGATCAATTCACGGCTCCATAGTTTTGATGGATCTAGAGTCAACGAGATGCTGACTTCACTAGTAGCCACAACGTCAACAGAGATGCCCAAATCTTCAAATATTGAGAAGACCTGCACATGTACATAAAAATATGATCAAGCTAACAAAAAGGTAGAATGGAAGCAAACAAACAAATGAGCCACGTCCAGTTGCTTCATGTACCTTTGCTAAAAACCCGATTACTGGCCAAGCATCCGTGTGCTCACTATATCCAGCATGGTAACATTTGATTTCAACACAATGCTGGTCAATATGCTCTGCAAAAAAAAATGTAGCTCTGGCTATTTCAACGAACTCAGCAAAGCAGTAATGAGATATTGCACAAGAAAGAATCATAATCTACTAACACAACAAACCTTGCTCATATCTCTGGATTTAGTGATGACAGTACCAGGTGCATGACGATTGTATGAGTTCTTAACTCTCACTGGTATATCACCATCCCTAGCCGGTCGCATTGATTGGGGATGCAAAACCTACCAAAAGACAGGTATAAGAAGTTATATAAGAACAAATTCAACGGTTCCTAAAATTTCTGCCAACACAACTGACCTTCTAAACCAAAAACAAAAAAGGAAAAACAAAGGCACGAGAATGACCTGTAAACTAAACTAAAACTTGAGTTTTGAGGTGCAACAGGTAACATTTTATTTGATCAACAAATCATAACTAAAAAAAAGAAAGATGAAATACCTGTGCACCAAAGTAGGCAAGCTCAGCAGCCTCATCAAAAGTCAAGTAGGGCACGGGTATAGCATTTTCATAAATATTAGGATCACATGTCAACACACCATCTACATCCTTCCAAACCTATAAAAAAATAGTAGAGGCGTTACAAGGGACTTTTAGTTTTCATGAAGATCGAAACAACTTAAGTCTTTAACAACAGAGCCTGTTAGTCACAAGCAAGATGGGGTAGGGTAGAGATGAAATCCAACATGATATACCAAGGGACAAATTATACAAAAACATAAAAAGATAATGACGACAATACTATTTGAGGATCTAAAGCCTTGACCAACTTATTAATCCGTAAAAACTTAATAAACCTGAAACAAACACAAATATTTTATATACATTATCTAAGGATCTGAAACTGGAACACTGAAAATGAAACCAAACCTGAATTTCTCTTAATCCCAAGGCTTTGCCGATGGTTGTAGCTGTCAAGTCACTGCCACCCCTGCCTAAAGTGGTGACAGCACATGATTTACATCCCTGAAATTGATGCGCATCATTACTTAATCGAAACAAAGTAAACTTGACACTCTCAACAGAAAACATGTAGAAGTACATACCTTCCCAAGAAAACCAGTGACTATAGGAATAGCAGGGTCATTCATCCAGTCTCCATGTAGCCTCTTCAAGCAACAGCAGGATAAGTGACTTCAAGAATATCCGCATTTGTGAAATCATCAGTGGTTATAAAGCCAATATCAAATGCATCATACTGCCAAAAACAACAACAATAAGTTTACGATATAATTGGATTGAAATTGGTGTTGTGGACCCAGTCCACAAAGACAGAGGGGAATACATATCTTAGAACCATGAAGAGATGGTTTATGTGTAATGTTATAAGAAATATTGCCCAAAATTTGAAGGCACCCACATGCAGTGTATGCCAGGACAGATCAACTGTGCCCTTGTTTGGATCAAAAGCTGACTTCCCTTCTTAGTCCAAAAAAGTTAGGTTAAACAAAGACTAATTTTCTTCCTGGAGTGGCCGGTGGGCAGAGTACATGTTTTGGCACTATCCAGGTTCCAGACATAGGAGACCATCTTCTATGGACTAATTGCATTCACACATTATTCTACCACAGGTTAGAATTGATTGTCTGACTAGAATCCAAACTTTCAGTTCAAAATTTAATTCTAGGTAACCCTCATGTGTTGCTTGTGCTAAATGACATTGGAACAAAAAAAAAACTATCTGTTTCCAACAGATAAAATAATAAATATTAAATAATAGTATGTGTGTATAGAAGAGAAGCATAGCATTTGACTTACCTGGCGTGCCTTTTTCCCAAGTTTATTCAAATATGCAGCAAATATTCTTGTAGACATACATTCACCAAAGGAAACAAGATAATCTCTTGTCCTAAGAGTCAGCTCTTTCATCATAGCAACTCCTTTAAGAAGTTGCTCCAATTCATCCAATAAACCTGTTGAAATAAACATTGAAAGAGGCAATGTTTGAGTAATGCTTCTGAAAGGCACTTTGATTGGGAGATAAACAAGCGCTGAACGGAGAATTAGCCAAAGAAAACAGATCACAATAATTGACCGCAGTTATTAAAAAATGCACAAGTTGTCACAATTCACAGTGGTATTACAGCTTAGCATCCACTTTGTCGTTTCTGCTTTGCTGGCTAAAATAATAGGTATAGAGACTGGTAGCACTATAAATTACTTAACAAGCGTGAGCACTGGCAAATAGTTAAACCGAGAAGGTAAATTGAGCTGTTATAAGATAAACAAACTGTCCCTGTTGTGGACACATTAAAATGGTTGCCGGTGGCATGGTGCATGCCGAAAATGGTTTGTATTGCTGACAAAAGAAATCATGTGATGTCCATGCAACTTCCACCAGGAAATATTATTCAGACTTCGCGGAGAAAACTATTGGACATCAAAGAGAACGATGTCCCGTTGTATGGCTATAACAGGAGCAAGAGGAATAGCTGAGGTGTACCGAGAGCAGAGTGGAGCAAACAACAACATACCTGAAACAATCGACCTATCTAATCCGAGCTCATCAACCGTCCTGATGGGAACAAAACAACGCATGGTCAGGTCCAGATGCTCGAGCACACGGCAACACGATCAATCAAAGGCGGCCAAAAGGCAAAGCGAAACACACCTAAGATGCAGGTCCTTGATGACCGCGAGCTCAGGGATTTCAGACGCCTTGGGGGCGCCGCAGCTCACCGCCTTCTCCCCGGCCTACACACAATCAACGAAACAAACAGGCACTCACATTTAGCTTCAGCTAGTACAACAAGCCAAGCAATCCGACGCCCGCCAGACCGAGAGCTAGAAATGGGCGGTACCAGGAGGAGGTTATTGGTGGTCTTCCCCATGGCGGAGAGGACGACGACCGGCGTCTCGTCGGGGAAGCTAAGGATGAGGTCGGCCACCTCCCGCATCCGCTCGGCCGACGCGAGCGACGAGCCGCCGAACTTCATGACGACGGTGAACCCCGCCTGGGCATTCCTCCCCGCCGCCGCGGCCTCCTCCGTCCTGAGGACAGCCGCCGCCACGGCCCCCGTCTGGCAGCGCACCGCCAGGCCGCTCCTCCGCCTCCAGCATTGCGCTCCCGGCCTCGCGCTCGCGCAGACCGGGTGCCGCTCCCTCCCGAGCTTGGAGGCGGCGACGGGCGCGTCCAGAGACTCCCGCGCGACCCCCGGGAACCGCAGCGCCACCGCCATCTCGGGACGAGGGTGGCGGGCGGTCGAGAGGCCTGTGAATTCTCCGGTGCGGGAGCAGGCGAGCGCGCGGCGAGGCTGGGCGGCCTGCCTGGTTCGAATCGAACGGGAAGCGAAGGGGAGGTGGGTGGTGGCGGCGAGACGGGGAAGCGGGGTATGCCGGGGGACGGGGCACTTTATATAGCCGGCGCGGAAACGGACGGCGCGGCGAGGTGGGCCGTTGGGTCAGCCGCCCAACGGACGGCGCGGATCAAACACCGGGGGCGCGTGGGCCCCTTCCCCAGCCCCGGGCCCGGGTAGGTTGACGTTGACCCCACCAGTGGACGGAGGGACGCAGAAAAATGAAGAAGCGAGCAGCGGGACGTAGCGGACGCGGGTGGGCCCCGCGTGGAAGTGACGCTGCTGAACCTGGACTGGTGGTGCGCGCGGTCTTGGTTCTTGGATGATCCCAATCCCAGCCAGCGGATTCTTCTAACCTTTTTTTCGCCTTTTTCTTCCGAGGGTGACGTCGACGCCAACAATTATGAAATGAAGTGAGTGGAGTTCGTTGGTATGAGTAATACCAATTACCAAAGCATTTTGTGTTTGTTAGATTAGTGCTCGCATCAACGTCACAAAGTGTCTGGGAATTGCAAATATTAACTCGGCTTCGGCCTCGTGAGTACTCCTCTGCTTCGTGGTGCTGTGTTTGGTTCAGTTTTCGAAAGGTTTGTTTTGTTGCTAAAAAATACAACGCCAACTAAATAGGTAGAATCTAAAGCTATGTTTCTATAAATAGTTACTTTTGCGTAATACAATTTTCAGTTTCGTCTTGGATCATATCTTTGGCTTTTCAGTTTTTATGTTTTTTCCAAATTGGTGGAAATATAGAGACGAATTGCAATTGTTTTAAGGAAGATAAAGAGATGAGGTATATTTTATAGTTCTCTCAAGCAAACAACTTGGGCCTTGTTTAGATTGGGGTTAGGGATCAGTATTGGGCACTGTAGCACTTTCGTTTGTATTTGACAATTATTGTCCAATCATAGCCTAACTAGGCTCAAAAGATTCGTCTCGTAATTTACAATCAAACTATGTAATTAGTTATCTTTTTATCTACATTTAATACTCCATGCATGTGTCCAAAGATTTGATGTGATGAAGAGAAAGTGAAAAAACTTACAATCTAAATAAGGCTTTGGAACCTTTTGACATCAGTACACCACAGAGCTCACAACAGATTTTTCAAACATACCCTTAGTCTACTAAAAGGGTTTCAGCTATGATTCTTGAAGAAGCCATGCTAAATAGGATGCTAAAAATCGGCTTGCGCGGAGGTCCTTTTGAACAAAGAATCATAGTCCAAAAATTTAGCTTCTACTAGCTCCTGCTTTGGGAAATGATCTATGAAACTTTTTTGCCAAATGTTTTTCATTCTGTTCGCGTGAACTTATCAGCCACAGAAACTATCAACTAAACAGTACCTTTATCGCTCAACTAGAGAAGCTGCATTACTTGAAAAGCCAAAGCTATAAAGCTATTTTAGGAGGAGCCCGAGCCCCGACAAAATAGCACTAAATTTCAAAATTCATCGTCCTTCAAATAATCAGCGGTGGGCCCAATCTGTGACCATGGGAATTCGTGCATTATTGGTGTCAGTCAGTGTCAGCAAAATGCTATTTTTGTAACCCCATGATAAGCGTAACATAAAAATATTCACCGATCACCACGTTGGGTGATATTTGAATGAGGCAAATTAATAAGCATGTGCCGAAAGTGCTAATCGTTATTTTTTAAAAGGTGCGAACTAAACACTATAGCTGTTGCTAATATTGCAAATATGCACCCCGTTCGCTTGAGCTTATTCGGAACTACTTTTCAGTTATGGAACAATATTTTCCTCTCACAATATTTCAGCATAAACATCAGCATAAGCCAAATTTCAGCATCAGCGAACAGGGTGCAGTAGTACTTATAGACAAAGAAACAAAAAGAACAGATAAGAGAATTCATAGATTTTTATGAGATGTTATTGGCTGTTTTCAAATATTTTTTTACGCTGGATATACTGAAAATATCACAGGAATGCGAGTGTGCAGCCACTAGTATCCTCTTTTGATGTCCCTGAATAAAGTTTTTTTTTTCTGACGGCACAAATAATGCAACACGACAACTTGTGCAGTGTGTTTTATAAAAACCTTTTGGTCTGCTGAGCTGACTGCTGGCGTTCTGGGCAATACTGAAAACCTGAAAGTCTATTATGCCTATGCATGCAATGCAAACATGGAACGCGCCATTTGTGCAGTGTGTTTTCAGCGCCATCTTGTGGCTCTGATGGGGGAAGCACAGTAATTGTATATGCGTACACTTCCACTGGCGATAGTTTTCGTGGCACACTGAAACAGGCAATTTTGCTGTTGTTTTCCTAGGCATCAAAGGCCCACATGTCCCCCCACCCCCCGGCGAAACGAACGTGGCCGATTCATCCTGATCTCAGGCACAACACAACAGAGGATCGCAGAGGAGAATGATGATGAGACCACATCTTATCAGTCGCCGGACAAGAAAAAAAGAGTCAAGTACCCTGCTCTGAATCCAGACATGCTCGCCAAGGCTTGTATATACATTGCCTAGTTACTCCGAAATTTACTCTCTATCCAATCTAATGTTATACATACATAGAGTATTAAATATAAACTAAAAAAAAACTAATTACACAGTTTACGACTAATTTATGAGACGAATCTTTTAAGCCTACTTAATCTATGATTTGACAATGTGGTGCTACATTGACACATGTGCTAATGACGGATTAATTAGGCTTAATAAATTTGTCTCGCGGATTACTGACGGATTCTGTAATTTGTTTTTTTATTAGTATCCGAACACGCTATGCGACACCCCATATGACACTCGATGTGACACCTCAAAACTTTACTCCTGGATTTAATCGTGCACTTGGATTTGCTAAACAAGTTTAGGGCCTGTTTTGGACTACTCTGCTCCACCTTTTCCAGCTCTGCTCCACCAACTCTACCACAGAGCAGCTCCACTGTGGAGTTTCTGGAGCAAGTGGACCTGTTTGGCACGCAGTTTAGCTTCAGCTCTGAAAACATGAGGTTTCTATAGAAAAGGTCTACTATGCTCCTGATCGATGTTTGGTGTATGTTCTGTTGTATGCAGAGCATGTGTAATTGAATATTTTTTTTACCAATTCAAATATGTTATAAATATTATAATCTCATTTAATTTATTGGAGAAAAGTAAAAAACAAATATTTCGGCCAAATAATTCCATATTTTTGTCACGTAAATTTTAAAGTGCTTGATAGATAATTGACAAAGTTCATATTTCGGATACAAATAATTGTCCATACATGACTAATAATAAATAAGATAACAAAGTCCATCATTTTAATAGAAATAGTTGTCCATAGATAACTAGAAAATAGTGACTAATACATAATTCTAGTTCCAAGCTAGAGAAAGAGCGGTGGCCAAGTCATCACGGAATTTGTCCATAGTAGGAGCATTCGGTGCATCAGTAGAGCCATTTGATCTAGCCACATATTTTAGGTACCTTTTCAAAATCTCTAGAACATAATTTGGATCACGGTCGCACCGAGCGAAGTCCAAGTCTTCACCGCCATGCTCACGAATGAAGTTGTAAAGGACCATAGTAGCCACAACAATCATTTTTTGCTTGAACATCGGGTAGGACGCCATTTTATATAGAATCTGCCATTTTATTTTTGGCACTCCAAATGATCGCTCAATAACATTGCGGATGGATGAGTGAACACGATTGAACCTTTCTTTAGAGTCTTTGGTTCCATTCCTCTATGCCACTCCGGCATATGATACCTCTCACCTTTATAAGGATAAAGGTATCCCGGACGATTAGGATATCCCGCATCGACAACATAATATTTGCCTATAATTATTAGAAACAAAATATCAGATCACATTTGTAAGCATTTGATCAAACAATAAAGTGCATTGTCATATTTTTAATACCTTTTGGAGGGTGTGGAAAAAGCTCTCGTCCACTCTAATTGCATTGTACAGGACACTAGTATCATGCATAGAGCCCGGCTGTCCCGTCGACACATAAGTGAACCTCATATCAAAGTCACAACTTGCTAGAACATTTTGAGTAGGTATACCAGACTTTCCAATATATCTTACTTGATCGTCAGGTGGCAACGAAACTCGGATATGAGTACCATCTAGAGCACCAATGCAATATTTGAAATGTGGATATGCTCTACGGTCATCTCTTATCCTCCTGTGAACAGTTCGGAAGTTGGGGTCCTTTGGTCTAATAAAATCTCTAGACATATCCATGAAAGCATTCAGTACCTCATCAAATTTTCTATGAATAGTTTCACCCGAGTGCTTGAACCGGTTTTGTGCTTTTCTATTAGATTAATTTCCAGATAACACAAATAAGAACACCGCCAACATCTCCTGAGTGTTTATATGTAGGGATGGTTTCAGACCATACCTTCCAACCAATAAATCATGAAGGTCATAGAACATCTGTGTGCTCATCCGAAGCTGCGAATGATATTCTCCCGGTGTGTTCAGCGTCTCTAGCAACCAGCCCATACCACTAAGGAGTGATGTCCTAGGTGGATTTTTGTCAAAATATAATTCAACATAAGCTACAGCAAGTTTAGCACCAGCCAATACAAGATTCCAAAATGCCATGCTCTCATTGTCAGAGGTATCAGTTTCATCATCACTTTGCATAGAGGTAAAAAAAGGCCATGCAGGATGCCAATTAGAGACAAAACATGGTTCAAATAGCAATACATGGCCTCTACATAGATAAATAATGGTCAAAATAATAATACATAGATAAATAATGGTTCAAATAGCAATACATGGTTCTAGGATCACAAATAGTAGCATACAGTTTGCCAAATTATTTTTGAAAATAGCATACAGGTGCACAAATAATAGCATACAGGTTGCCAAAAAAATCTAACTTCCATATTTGTCATTGTGCCTCTTCCTAAG